TTGCAGTGAGGAAAAGGAGAACACAGAAACATGCACAAAAGATATAGACAACAGGTGCAAGTACTATTACGTGCACTATACTGCATTACCTAGGAGCTCTGGGAGCATAGTGCCTAAGGCCCTTGACTGCTAACCAGAAGGCTGGCGGTTCAAACCCACAAGCCACTCCTCAGAAGGAAGATGGGGCAATCTACTTCCATAGTGATACTGCCTTGGAAACCCAAGGAGCGGTTGCTATGAGTTGGGTCTGACTTGACGGCACATAACAACAACAACAACAACAACCTTACATATGTACTTGTGCTACAAAATTACCCACATATATTACAAAAGTAACAGAGAACAGGTTGGACTAGCTTCTCAGAGACAACCCCTTGAGAGAATCACCAGGCCTGCAGGCTTGGAACCAAAGTCTCGGAGGACATCATGCTCAATTGGCAGAACATAGTACATAAAATTTTGTCCTACATCCTACTCTGGTGAGTAGCAACTGGGGTCTTAAAAGCTTTTGAGCAGCCATCTAAGATGCAACTATTGGTCTCCTCCTGCCTGGAGCAAAGAAAAGCAAAGAAAATCAGTCATTTGGAAATAGTCCAAAGATATGATGGACCACAAGGACCCAGCCTTCACAACTGGCAGACAAGAACTAGATGGTGCCCAGCTACCAGTGCCAACCACTCAGAAAGGGATCAAAACTGGAGATCCTGGTTAGAGTGGGAAGAAAAAAATTTTAAAACACAAAAATGACCAGTTGGACAGAGATTGGTGGAACCTTTGAGACTATGGCCCTGGGTTATCCTTCAGGCCTAGAAATGGACTCATTTCCATGGACTGGCTCTCAGCCCAACAGCAGTAAGATCTACATGCAGGGCACCTACCCTAGGGAGATACACCCTTTAGATCAATCAACCATGAGACATCAGAAGGGCAGCATTCACATAGAGGGAAAGGTGGACAGACATGAATGCATACATAAGAAGGGCACAGGGAGGGGGCAGTCACAGGGAGAGGTGAGGAGTTTTTTATGGCTGGAGATTGTAATCAGGCCGTGAAATCAAATGTGCATGAAATGTTGAATGTAATACAAATCTGCTTTGTAAAACTGCACCCAAAGCACAGTAATAAATAAAAATTTTAAAAAAGAGAGAACTGCAAATTAAAACTACATAAGATACCATTTTCCATTTGTTAGATTGACAAATGTAAGAAAATTTCATCAACCTTAAACCAAAAATATCTTCTGAAGTCATCTTAAAACCGAACTATAGTTTAGTTTAACTAGTAAAAAAAAGTCTGCCTTGAGAAACCGTCAGAGAGACTAACAGAGAGTGTGGCATGAGAACCGAGAGACTGGCAGAAGACAGAGCAGAGGGCTTGCCAGCCCAAAGGCTGAGAAAGCTGAGTGCCTTTAGGCAGGAGGCTTGCTGGCAGAGTGGGGTGCACCTATCAGAACTAAAAGAGCTTTGCAACATTTGTCCAACTGGGGCAGAGAGTAGGGCAGAGGCCAGGCCAAGAGGCTGAGGGCCAAAGACAGGTGTGCCTGAGGGCATGGTCGAAGGGAGGCTGTCCTGATTGAAGAATTGTATCTTGAGTGCGTTTCTGAATCTGAATTGTAACCTGTTACTTCCCTAATACCTGTAATTGGGGGCGGGGGAAGCATTGAGCATTATGCTCTTTTAAGAACTATCTATGTGGGGTCAAATTAACAATAGCAACTCAAAAGATTAGACAGGAACCTTACCGGGCCATGAGTTTATGTTAATGAGAGAGGAACAACTCAGCAAAGGAGGGTAAGAACGGTTGTACAACTGGAAGAAAGTAATCAATGTCACCAATTGTACATGAAGAAACTGTTGAATTGGTGTATGTTTTGCTATGTATATTCTCAACAACAACAAAATAAATAAAAGTCAGATCTGACTCATAGCAACCCCTCCTTGCATTTCCGAGGCGGTATCATTTCAGAAGTAGATTGCCCAATTTTCCTTCCGAGGAGTTGCTGCTGGGTTTGAACCTCCAGCCTTCTGGTTAGCAGTCAAATGCCTTAGGCACACATACTGAAGAAGCCTGACACCCTCACACAGAGCTGTTGGGCAATCTGACAATTAAAAAAAAAAAAAAATCCACATTCCTTTTGGTACAGAATTTATTGTCTTATAATGTGTCATTCAGGAATGATATATGTCCAAGCATGTATTTGTGTGTAAAAGGTTATTTACTGTAAGCATTGTTTTTAATAGTAAAAGACTGGATGTTCATTTATGGTTAAATAAATTATGATACAGTCATACAATGTAATAATACTATATAGTTATAAAAAACAATGCAGAAGCTTTTTATGATATAGAAATATCTTAGAAATATCTCTTTAAGTGAAAAAACCAAGGGCCAAAACAATGTGTATAACATGCTACTATACGTGTAAAAGAGGGAGGAGAGAGAATTTATATAATAAATTTCAGAAAGGAAATACAACACATTGATAACACTGGGGAGCTGATGGCAGGAGTAAGAGGAACTCATTTTAGTGTGATCTACTGCCATCAAGTCAATTGCAACTCATAGCAACCCTCGCTGGGTTTCCAAAGTGGTAAATCTTTTTTTTTTTTTAATTGTGATTTGGGTGAAAATTTACAGAGCAAATTCACTTTCCATATAGTAGTTCACATACACTTTGTCTCATGACATTAACCACAGTTTACCACAATGCAACAGCTCCCCTCCCACTTCCTCCCCATAGTTACCTCTTCCCTGTGTCCATCCCTCCATACACTCCTGCCCCCTGAGCTGTCTCCCTATGCACAAGCAGCCCTTCTTTCTCCCATGATTGTTCTCTCCAATGAGGGTTTCTACCCCAGGCAAAAGTTCAACTCACATGCCTGTCTTCTGTTTGACTGGAAGCCACCGGTGTGAGTTCAATTCCAGACCTGAAGGGCAGCTAGGGGCCATACTCTCAGTGGTTCCACCAGGCTCTATCAGACCAGCAAACCTGGTGTCCCCCCCGCCCCTTTTTTATTCTCCAAATGATTTTGAGTTTTGTTCCACATCGTTCTCCTTCTCTATCCAGGATCTTCTACATAGATCCCCTTCCAAGTGGTTAACAGTGGTAGCTGAGCACCATGTAGTTCTTCTGGTCTCATAGTTGTATAGGATGCAGATTGGCTGGTGTATCAGTCGCTTGGACTAATTGTTTCCATGGATCTTTGGTTTTCTTCATTCTTCTTTGCTCTGGACGACGAAAGACCCATCGTTGCATCTAGATGGCAGCTTGCTAGCTTTTAAGATCCCAGTTGTTACTCGCCAAAGTAGGAGGTAGAACAATGTTTTGTCAATTGAGCTTGATGTCCCCTGTGACTATGGTCCTGAGACCACAGGTTCAACTAGTCCGTCCCTCTGGGTAGCTGGCTGTGACCAAGCAGTGACTACCACCTTGCCCTTGTCAGCTCTACTATACACCTGGGAATTCAGATCATATACATAAACTTATAGGACCATTGTCTGTCAACCCTATACATGTTCTTGTGCACACTCCCCGCTTCATAGACATACCTAATAGTTCAGCCTGTCCACCCATCTATCCAAAGTGGTAAATCTTTATGCAAACAGATTGCTTCATGTTTCTTCTGGAGCAGCTGGTGGGTTTGAACCACCAACCTCCTGGTTGGCAGTGAAGTGTCTTAGGCACTGTGCCACCAGAGCTCCTTCTTTGTAATACCAAAAGAAAAAAAACCAAACTCATTGCCATTGAGTTGATTCTAACTCATAGCAACCCCCATTGGGTTTCCAAGGTGGTAAATCTTTAGGGAAGTAGATTGCCCCATCTTCCTTCCACGGAGCTGCTGGTGGGTTTGAACCGCCAACCATTCTGGTTAGCAGTCAAATGCCTTAAGCACTACACCAGCAGAGCTCCTTTTTCTTTGTAGTACAGACCTTTTGAATTCTGACCTAAATGAATATTCCTTTTTCAAAGAAACAAAGTTGCTATTTTCACCTACTTGCTAAGAAATACAAGTCCCATTAAAACAACTTTCAATGAAGTTAAAATTATAATTATTAATATTAAATTATATACATAACCTATTATAGTAACAGCATCTCATTTAAACCTCTCAATAGACTGTTGTTGTTGCTATGTGCCGTCAAGTTAGCCCCGACTCATAGCGGCCCCTCCTTGGGTTTCCGAGGCAGTATCACTACGGAAGTAGGATTGCCCAACCTTCCTTCCAAGGAGTGGCTGGTGGGTTTGA